ACGGTGTTGAAAAAGTAACTTTACGATTGGTCTTCCCACTTCCCATTTATAACCGTCACAGCGTTCCTGCAGTCATGTGATCGAGATTCAGGTGTTTCGCAACTGTCGCAGTGTCCCATGGTCATGTGATCGCCATTTGTGCGCTTCACAGCTGGCTTCTGACAAGCAGAGTCAATGGGGAAGCCTGCAGTAAAATCACAGGATATCTCACTTAATGACTGGGGCAGAAGTGAGGTTGTAAGTCAGTCGTGGTCATGTGTTGTCTTGCTTAGCGACAGTGTTGCCGGTCCCAATTGGGGCCATTAAGCAAGGACTAGCTGTATATCAGACTTACAGCCAGAGAACTGCCTGATTCATTCAAAGCCTCTGCTTGAGCCCCCACTGGACGGGTTTTTTGATTTGTCCTTGAACTGCTTATGATCTCTTTTTTGTAAGAGATTTTTTTTACTTTTTAACTGCAAGCTGCCTAGAATCCTTGGGAGTTGGGGGGCCTATAAATTGTATGTATAAATAAATAAATAAATAAATAAATAAATAAATAAATAAATAAATAAATAAATGTGATTAGATAAATTCAACCCCTCCACTCATTTCCTTTTTTCAATATAAATTTTTAAAGATGAATTGACTATAGAGGTCCCTTTTGGCAAGATTCTAGTCCAAGTTGACTACTGCACTCTACTTCCTTTCCACAAATAACCCAGAGACAGGCAGTGCGGCGTACTGTGTGTATTTCTGTTTCAACCTAGGTGACTATTTAACATTTAAAACCTACCCACCAGTTAAATCAACTACAACTAGAAGTGTCATTATCACAAACACAATTCAGTATAGAAAGTATAAATCATGCTGTGAAATTCATAAACTCTTGTGGGATGTGGACTTGTTTAAATTTTACAGTTTAGCTGAGAAGTCCTTCAAAACATCATGATTTCAAAGCAGGCAAGTGCTTTGCCACTTCAGAATGGGACTCATGGGGCTTAAGTTTGGCTAGTTTGGGCCTAGTTATATAAGAGTGCTAATTGCCTGTCTGGGAAAAAGTGTTTGGTTTCGAAACTCCGATGTTCAGCAGCAACCTGTATAAGAGCAGTCCGTAAATTGAATCAGCTCCTAAGGTACAGTATGGGCATCCTGAAATCAAATGAAAGAATAGGAATGTCCAGTTCTCAGTATGACACTCTGTTCTCCGCAAAAGAATGGCAATGCTCACTCCCCCAGGCAAGATGTGTTTGTTCAAAAGTAAGTTCTTTCTGGGGACGCGGTGGCGCAGCGGCTTAATGACGCTGAAAGTTGCCGGCCAGAAATGGCTGACGCTTTGGCGGTTCGAGTCCAGCCTTCGCATTAAACAGGGTGAGCGCCTGTTTCCTCCCCAGTTCCTGTG